ACTGCTCATACCGCTCTCCATCCTGACTCGCTGTCACAGCTGTGTGGGCGGTGCGGGGAGGAGAGCTCCTGTTACACGCCGGGTGTTCACAGTGCTCTCCTCCCCTGCACTGTTCGGCCTCCTCTGACAGCTTCTCTCCTCCCCACTGGGCGCTTGTTGTGTCGGAGCAGACCCAGAGCAGCGCATAGCTGGGAGGAGAGAAACTAGGATGGCACTTTCGGCATTTTTACAAAAGTTCCATTTTTGGGTGATCTGTTGCAGCGGCCGAATTTTCGGTGCATCCCTACTTTAAACTGTAGTTAGTAGCAGCGTACTAAATCACGGATATTACAACTGCAAAGCATGATCAAAGGGTAGTGGTGACAACTGGGGGAGTGGGGTCCGGGTAAAGTAAATCTACTTTACTTGGGTCCCCTAAACAAAAACAAGCACTTAACCCTTCCAGTGTGGGGGTAACCTCACTGCAAGGGTACTTTTTTGTTTGCCCGGAGATGGGCTTTAAGTTGATGGGCTTTAAATCTTTGATTCCCCCATCCAGCTAAATAGCCTGGATGGGGGAATCTTGCCTACCGGGCTACTGTAGTACACATGCCACTCTAAAAATACCTGAACAATGACTGCAGCTGAGCCAAAGAATTTTTGGACCAGCTCCTTTGACAAAAGTCAATTTGGGGCACCCCTTGTTTAATTTTCAGACCTGGGCTGCAGGTGTGCCTGGTAGAAAGTGAGTGGTTGCTATGGGCAGCAAGAAATTTACCTGTTAGCATATTTTTCACACATAAGCCCCAAAATTCCATATTAATTATGTACAATGAAAAGCTACATAACCAAAAAGCTATCCCAAAAAGACTCATGACCTCCACTGATGATCCTAACTATGCTCCCTCCATGATTTTCAAGTGATACTCCAGTGAACAATAAAGTGTAAAACAGATGTCAAGTCTACCTGACACTACCCAACATCATTGCCTTTTATTCAGTAGTGCCTCCTTTCCACCTCAGTGAACTCCTTCACCTGACCCGAAAAACCAGTACTTGCTGTCTTCCATCCACTAGAAGACAACATTTAAATTAAAATTATTGCCTGAAATAAAACGCCTGTTGTCACTTTGGCAACAACTTCATCTTCTTCCTAGTATCCCAGCATTGGTATGTCATAAAGGAAAAGACTTTACCCCTCGTCAGTTCTAGTGTGAACTCACCCTTAAGGTTACAAACGCAGCTGGGGTATGTAAACCATATGCTGTGGCACACACATGCCCTCAAATGTCCTCTGTGTAAGTGACAGCTTTTAATATGCATTTTGATTTAAAAAAATGTATTCATTATTGTCTGTGAAGGGTCATATTATATCTGTAAAAAATAAGTCAAGGCAACTGAAATTACTGTATTTTTCTTGAAGATGTTTCACTGGTCATCCGACCAGCTTTTTGAATTGAGAAAGCTGGTCGGATGACCAGTGAAATGTCTTCAAGAAAAATACAGCAAGTCCAGTTGCCTTGACTTATTTTTTTACAGGTATATTCATTATTGGTATTCCCCCGTTGCCTAGAAATTCACAATTATTCAGCATTATAATTTAAGATGAATTACAGCATAATAGTGTCAGTGAATGGCAAATATTACAGGGAACAGCCAGCACTGTTACATGTTATATATGTATATGTCATCTTGCTATGGTTTCACCTGTTCTGCCTCCGCTGGTGTGTCACCATTACTCGTTTGAACTACCATTACTTTTTTTGCACCCCCAAGCATTGCCCCTTTTGCTTCAACTGGCATAGCCATAGCCTGCACCACTGGCTTCACTTTTTGAGATGTCCCATTCGCATACCACAAACTCAGTCATGTAAGTATTTACACAGCTGCTCATCCGATATGTCCAGCCTAACCATTGGCACCCTTCATTGGCCCCAGTGTCCTTTTTGACATTTGAGCAAAATTATAGACTACACTGAGATTATGGGTGTCATACAGCTAATCCCGAATGGGGGCAGAACTCCTTTTAAGGTTTAAGTCCTGAGTTTAGTGTCACTTTAAATTTAATACTGCTTGAGGAAAATAGCAAAAAAATACAAATAACTCACTTTATTTTCATCTATCGATTTCTCACTGTCACTCACAACAAGATTTTGCGGCATTTCAGGATCCCCATTCTCATGAGAAAATGCTTCAGAACTGTGCAAGAACGCATCCTCACAGAATTTGGACTCTTTAGGGTTCCCAGGAGTACGAGAGAAGACCCAGTGATGTCCCCTTTGCAAGATGAACCTGCCTTTAAAGAAGAACTCCAGGCAGACATTTTAGTAACCCCTGCAGTGCGGCTACCCTCGCACTGCAGGGGTTAACTGCATGTTAATATGTGAGAATAACTTTTCTTTTTCTACCCTAGATAAAAGCCAGCAGGTAACATTTGCAGTGCGGGTAGCCCCACTGCAAGGGTTAATAAAATTTCGGGCCGGCGTTCTTACTTTTTGTTTTTTGCCTTTCCTCATTGTTTTGTAATAAGGGGGTGGTGGGGGGCTGCTTCATAAGTGGGCTTTGTGTTTAAATGCATGGTCTGCTTTATAATTAGGATCACTTCAGTAAACAAATTCTATTTTGTAAAAAAAATGGTTAAACAAACACAATGTGATAACAAAGGGAAAGAAAACACTAAGAACAAAATTTTTTTCTGGAAATATCTAGCCAGCGAGCAACCTTGAAGATGAAGCGTGAGGTCACCATATTGTATAGACAGAGCCAATGTAGATAATTTGTGAGCAAAAAGGAGGAAAACCACAAAATGTTTGTTTGTGAATGACATCTTCAGCGACAGCATAGCCAAGAATATATATATATATATA